AAAAATATCCTTGAACCGCGACTCCGTTCCCATACTTCCCATACATACTATGGCGACACCAATCGAATTATTTTGCTCTAAATCAATTGTTATGAGTCAGTAACTAAACAGGATATAATTGGTGTGTGAACGAACATTTTTATTTGTGACCCACTTTGAAATTTGTAGCTAGCATTGAGCCTTTATTACATATATATACATACCTATATTAATATCTGTTTTTTACTGCTTTATAAATATTTATTATAATGTGTATAGTATGTAGAGTATGTATCTGCCTATGTATAGTTCAGTGTATGATGTATATTTTTATATAGATTTTTAGTATATTTAGTAGAACTTGCTTGCTTCTTGCATATCTGATACTGGATTGTCTCTGCATCATCCAAAGGTTGACTGGTAAAGAATGCTTGTTGCATTAAGTCCGCTGGTGAAGTTTTAAATAAATAAATAAATACATACATATCAATACTAGGACAATACTGATACAATATTTTTCAACTATTTAATGGATGTTATTATATATAGGTACTTACTTACTTATAAGCCATCCTCTTCAGACACTCTATTTGTTAAAAATACCGCATCGAAATCCGTTGCTTCAGAATCGAATTTTGTTTGATTCAACGATATGCATATTGCTTTTAAACAAAAAGGTAGGTGTACTAAAGTAATGACGTCATAAATCTAAATCTCATAGAATGCTTGTCTCATGCCTATTTTCTTTTAAAATCTAAATTTTGGTTTTAGTAACGCTAACCTAACAAAAGAGGATGGGTAAGTGAAGTTTCAAGTATTATTTAGCTATAAAAATATGTGATTTATTTTAGATTGATACTGTGAGGTAGATTAGTAGGTAGATTGCCTTTGACAAAGTGTCCACACATTAACTTAACGTGAATAAGCTTATTAGTATTATAATAAAATCAGGCGCTTGGAAATATAAATATATTTATCGCTTTATAAGATGCCTCAGTAGATAGTATACATAACTGGCGTGAAACAACGACAGCGTTGTGTTTCCCCGTGTGCATGAGGTAACCGAAGGCCTAATCCTTCTGTCCCTCCTCCAATCCTAAAATCGCCAAAACTCTAATCGCCTAAAGGCCGGCCACGCAGTCGTAACTCCTCGAGCACCACGGGCGGCGCTGATTATTTACCACTAGCTACTCTAGCATTTGATCGTAGCGTGATATTTTATAGCCCATAGAACTCAGGAACATTGTATCTATCAGAGAAAGAAATTTGACAATCCGAAAAGCGGTTCCAAAGATTACCCCATACATACAAACTTACAAATTTTACTTCTTTAAAATATTAGTATAGATATAATATTTACTATTCTCTTTGTAATTTATACATACACATAATATTAATATTTTTTTTATAAAATTAAGTAAGTAATAAAATTTTAAATTTTATATTAATATTTCGGTGTGACAGACAACCACTCACATTACACCGTTGATTGAGAACATTTTATATTAATATTGGATGATTGTCTTATAAAGAAAGTTATTACAATTTAATAAAACCTTTAATATTTGTATAGATTAGGTAATTCGTCTGCTCGTGTGTCATCCTATCACATCAAAATAAGGAATCAAAGCTTCTAGCACATAGAATGACAATAATTTGGCTCCAGCGTAAATTGCGAGTCCATAACTCACTTTCAGTTTTCCGTTATTGTGGTTGCAGCAGAATCGTTAGAAGATAGAAACAGAATGGTCGTCTTTTGTTTATTTTACCCCTAATGAATATGACTTGTCGAAATTCAGTTGAGAACTCAGCTGTGTAATACATAGCCGAATTTCGTTAGGAAAAGATAAAGACACATGCATTTTCCATCTCAAACCGTACCGAGACATCATAGGTGCAAATCCTCAACCACCTTAATCTCTTTCCAAGCAATACTTCAAACATTTTATACTTCACAAAACATTGGCTATTCCATCGTCCTAAATTCCATTCTAAATGATGGGTAATGATCGTTCACAAATCAGTGTAAGTAGTTACAATGGTAGCAATCGATTCATGCGATCACCGCTATATTTAGCGATGGCCGATACCTCACTGATGGAAGATGGTCAACTGGATCTAATAATAGAAAATGCATCAGTGACACGAAGTAGCCGCGTGGTAGTTTTATTGATAGTGGGCTGTAAGGTCTGTTCTTGAATCGGGAGTGTTTCATTTGTGAATCTTGAGTTTTCTGCTTAAACATTAACACAAAGGATGGCAGATGACTTGTAGATTGCAGTTGGATCATCAAAGCTGACGTTACTTTACTTTATTTTCTCCAGTGTCGTGGGTTCGTTTACACACATACACAAGTCATTGCATAAAGTGTAGATTTGTGCAAAAATCAAAACGTTGCAAAGCAACCAGTTGCCTAGCCACTGCTCCCACCATGCATTTTTTTATGTCAAGTTTAGAAGATGCTGTTCATCTTAGCCTTTTGGGCTTGGTGCCTTCAACATTTGAAGTTATAGAGATTCTTACCATAAATATTTCTTACTTCAACTACACAATTGATTAATAGAAATGCCAAGTGAACAACCACGCCTCATTATCTTACCTTTAGCTGTCCCTTGATCTCTTTGAGTTGGCCATTTGAAGCACATTCTCCGATGATCCCATCACGTTTCTACCAATCAAATTCAGTCGGTTTTAACCTAAACATTCTAATTGGACTCGATAATGCGATCATAGTTCTACCAATTAAATCAGTGTGGGAGAGATATGCTTCGGCACGAATGGGTCGGCTCGACCAGAGTAATACTACCTCACAGAAAGCCAGCGTAAAACAGCAACAGCGTTGTGTTTCGCCGTGTGAGTAAGGTTACCGGAGGCTCAATCCTTTCCCTTCCCTAACCCCCCGATACCATCCCGATCCCTAAATCTCCAAATGCTTAATCCCCAAAAGGTCGGCAGCACACTCGTCTGTTGTTTCGGGTGTCTATGGGTGGCGCTGATTGCGTACCATAGGTAATCGGTCTCTTAGTATGCCGACCTATCACATAAAAAATATGCTGTCCTTCATCTATGAATACTGTTTCCTAGTCATTTTCATTTACATGAGTGCCCCAATAAAATTAGGCCTAACTAAAAACAGACCGTTTGAAATCGATAGCGATCAACATTACAGTAGTTAGTTCAATGAAGACACGCATCAAATCGTAACTAAGTTGTGCACAATTAACAAATAGCACATTTCTCATCGACCAATCACGTGATTCGGTCACGGGATTTTAACAATTAATCTATTATTGTGATTTATGATGGACTTTATTATTTTACAGGTCAAAATGTTGATGATCGATTCTTTGGACGGAAAGCCTACATATTGCTACATTTTGTTTGATTACGATAAGGTTAATATTGAACAAGGATTCGAATACTATACGACCGTATTTTTTTTTTTTGCTTGCGAAAGGATGGCAAACGAGTTTGTGTCACCTGATAGTAAGCAATTGGCGTCGCTCGTGCCGTGGACATCCGAATCATCCTTTTTTAGTTTAACATTACTATGATCACCAATCTTGTTATTCAGTTGTATTGAGTACTTTTATTTTGTTTTTTAAATTTGTATTGTTTTTCTTGTTTTAAGTACCTAGATAATAGTTATTTATATAAAATTAACAAAACAACTTAATGGCGTAAGCTGTAATGTTGTATATGTAAATTTTCTTAATAAATAAATGATCAAAGATATTTTAAGTGCGTTCCTGGCTATTTGGATTTGAAGATCGAGGGGAAGAATGGGCAGCCGTTGACTTTAATCATACGACGAAACAAATCGCAGTCGTTGTTTCACGTCGGTTTTCTATGAGACCATCGTTACACTTCGGTAAGGTAGGGCTCTTCCATACAAAAGCTTTTTTTATTTTTACCTTATCAATAAATTTAAGCCAAGCTATTACTTGATCAACAAAGCCATCTACGAGTACCATCCCAAAACCTAATTAGCGACGTCACACGAAACATACCAGAAAAACGGGCAAAAACTGCGCTTTTCCATTTCTTAATTTCCGTTGAAATCTAATTAATAAACGGAAAAGGAAAACTCGGTTCCAAAGATAACCGGAGCATTGAACCTACGACCCGGACGGTATCGCCGCGGGTCATAAATTAAGAAAAAAATTTTCGTTATCTGAATTTTTTTTCTCCTTAATACGAGGACAATAAATGACGTTGCTTTAGGGATTTTACTATCAAGTTTTAAACTCCATTAAAGATTACATCAAAATCATAACCCTCCTTTTTGGGACGGTCGAGTAAAATTAAGTATGCACATTTTTTGTTAGATGAAGACTATTATCAGTACCTATTTTGGTTTTTGCTATTGTCTTTATTTCTTAATGAGGTATATATTAACCACGTTTCGATAGTTTTTTAGTCCGAAATTGAGAACTGTGTTTTACATGTTAATGTTGCTTATGTTCGTGACATGTAAAATAATACATTTGTCTGGAAGAAATTTGCTGAACAATGGGCGGTCCCTACTGTAGACACTTTATTTTTTATGCGATATGTTGGTAAACTAGCAGACGGATTAAAGCAACCATGGACACCCGCAACAATAGAAGAGTTAGGAGTGCATTGCCGACTCTTTGGGATTAAGGATTTGGTGATTTAGGGATTAAATGTCTGTTTTCTGTAGATTTGTGAAAGTGTGTGCTATAAAGTAATTAAAAATAAATAAATATAATTCGTTAGTACATATAAAATACATTCACAGAAAAACATCTAAAAATTTGATTTATTTCCTTATAAATTATAAAAGAGAACACTATCTTATCAATACTAAAACGAAGACAACAATACGTGATACAAGTAATTATAATTAAACAGCAGACGAACTGATACCGATTAGATTAACTGTTGCTAATTTTAAAAATGGTTCATTATCCAAAATACTATCACATTTGTAGTGCGTAAGGCACATTATCGCACAGCTATCCCGTTTCTTTAAAAAACTTTCGGTAACCTACAGCTTTCGAGCAAAAAAGCAATGAAATTGACTAGCACCAAAACTCCAAACTTTCAAATTTCTACTTCTTCTCTTGAGGTAAAAAGTTCATTTCTTCTTGAACCACAGGCGCCCTCTTAGAACCTTTCATCCATTCGGCAATTTCTTGCAATGTCATGTCTTTCGTTTCAGGTAAAAATACATAAATCAAGAACAAGAAGAATGATGTAGCGAGACCGAAGAAGAGGAAGGCTCCATGTGTTCCCCAAGACTTGAATAAGAATGGTGACATTTTAACCAAAGTACCTAATAGTACTTTTGATGATAAATCCATACAACACGATGAAAGTCCACGAGCCTCTATAGAAACCAATTCACCAGATATTGTCTGTGTCAATATAACAGGTCCAAAACATAATCCCATTGAATATCCTATAAGCAAGAATATAGCAAAGTAATTATTCTCTACTACTAATGACAATTTAATCAAGTATGCGTATAAGGATATGGATAAAAGAAAACCAATTCCTACCAATGATGATCCTATCAATAGTTTCTTTCGTGGCAATACTTTAGCAACCAAACATCCAATGTACATACAAAGTACAGTGACACCGTCTAGAATCAACATGGCTGTGTAAGGTGAAATGTGGTGCCCAGCTGTGATTTTACTTATGATATCTATTGCATAAACGCTAAATACTACTTTACCCGAGAATATATAAAGAGAATGAACAATCAGACACAAAACCAACGGCTTGTAAAACTGTCTCTTGGAAACTATCCTCAAATACCCTATAATGTATCCTTTCAATTCGAATTTGTTCTTCTGTGCTTCTAAATTGAGATTCTTTTGATAGTTAATCAACTTCTCTAAGTCTGTTTCAGCTTGTTTGCTGAATCCCATCATCCACCTGTGCGTGTCTGCGGCTCTTTCATAGCGCTGTTTTGTCGCCAACCAAAATGGTGATTCTGGGAGAACTATTGCTATCAAAAGACCGTAGGCACTGCAGATAATCCCAGCCAGACCAATGTTTCTCCAGTGGAAGAATGTCCCAATGGCATTAGACATGAAAATACCCCAGAAGAGAGTAGCAGATTTCACTGTCAAGAAAAATCCTCTATGCTTTGGTGAGGTGTACTCAGTGATGATCATCACAGATACGGTGAAGTGGGATCCTGTGTTGATGCCATTAATCACTTGGCTGATGATGATTTGATTGACTGTGACACTGAAGTAGAAAACGATGAAACTGATCAAGTTGCTGATTGAGACGAACATGAAGGTATATTTTCGGCCAATGTACTTCATGAAGATTGGTAGGATGAACGTCCAAGGTAAGCCGGAGTAGACCATGATGGCGGCTGAAAAAGAAATTCAACTTTATTATCATCTTATCAACGAACATTTTAAAATAAATCTGAAATTTTAATGACGCCAGATAAGATCATACTTTTAAAAAACTTGATTATGATAATGATTGCCGTAATGTAGCAACATATCAAAAATATTCTCATTTGTTTTGTGAGTTTATTTTATGGTTACTTATAAAAAAGGAATCATTTATTCAATGAGTTTTTAACGAAAATTCGTAATACCAAAGCCTGGAATTGTACTAAAATTTTTAACAATGATAATCTATTTAAACTTACGTATCCAAGAAGCAGTAGATTCGCTGATAGCATCGTCAGAGTTGGCCTCTTTCCTGATCTGTGGGATGAAGACTGTGGAAGCCCCGAAGGACATCCCCATGATGAAGTAGCATGTCCATCCACCACTACTGATTGTCATCTGGAAGAACGTATAGATGAAGGTTAAACATCGTCTTGCTGGGGAAGATCATGCAATGATTTTTCTTATTCATGCATGATCATGCATTGATTAAGTACTAGCGACCCGTCCCGGCTCTGCACGGGTGCAATACTAATAGGTACTACATTTTTCCACTACTTAATGGATGTTCTTATACGTATTATAAACTTTCCACTTTAATACCTTCGTCTATTACAAAAACTATATCGAAATCAGTTGCTTAGTTTTAAATATTTGAGCTCACATTGGGATATACCTACATAGGTAGCGACTTTGTTTTTTTATATACTATGTAGTGATATCGTAAAATCGACGAATGAAAGGGCTAATTTTTATTATTATTTTATTACAATGAAAAGTCGAACGAAAGAATTAATTATTGGCTTAGTAAAAAAACTGTATTGATTTATTAATATTCCAAACAGTTTAACGTACGCCCAGTACCTACCTACAGGGGAAAACCGACCTTATTATAACAATGTTAACATAGTTACTTATTCAAATTCCAAAGATAACAGTAATCCGTTAATTCATTATTATAGCAACGTATTTTATTTGAGACATTATTGTTATTGGGTAAGCCTGATATCATTGAAAGAACAGATAAAATGATTCCACAAGGTTTATTGATATCTTAATCATTTGAGACTGTAAGAAAGTTGATGAATTTTAGCACGCTCATAGTTTTTTTTTTTAATCACCTGAGAGTACGCAAGCGGTGTCGCTCATGGAAAAAAATCCATAACCGTAACCAGTTGAGTTTTGCCAGCCGTTAGGGATTTGATGTTTGGAGATCGGGTGACTAAAAAGTAAAAACCCCCTGTTCCATCTCCCGTTTTAGGCGGAGGCCGCGGTGCCTCATTGTGGCGCTTACCCCGCTGCCTCGGCTGATGGCGAAACACGATGCAAACGGATTTTCATGCTAGTTTTAATTAAGGCTTTTAATAAGTGTGTAAGTGTACTTAAGAGACTCACCGAAATTGCCAATTATATAAATCTTAATTGACAAAGATTTCTAATTATAGATAAGACCACACAATCGTCGTAGACTATATTATTTTTTTAAGTAATTTACCTTGTAATGATCAGGGATATCTGTAGATTGTCAACTGCTTTAACATACTTGCAAATTAATTTCGTAGTTTATAGCCTATAGCCTTCCACAAAAAATGGTCGATCCAACACAAAAAGAATTGTTCAATTCGATACAGTCGTTCCGGAGATTAACGCGTTCCAACAAACTCTTAAAGCTTCATAATACTTAGTACTTGAAAAATAAAAAAATGGAATTCAAATCCGAATTATGGTCATGGGTAAAATGTATTCATTATGCTTAAGTACTTATTGTTATTCATCTATACTAATATTATAAAGAGGTAAAATTTGTAAGTTTGTATGTAGGGGGTAATCTTTGGAACCGCTGGTTGGATTGCCAAAATTCTTTCATTGATGGATAGCGACAATGTTCCTGAGTCCTATAGGCTATAAAACATCGCACTACTATTAAATAAAGCCGAGCAGCGAGTGGAACCGCGTGAAAGTAGCTAGTGTGCAATATTTATAATCTGTTGATCTTTTATAATGCAGTGTTGACAGATCGTTAGATAAGATAGCGGACACCGATGGCGCCAATTTGCGTCCTTAAAACCGAGAGGAGTGCCATCGATTACGAATTGATCAGTTTTTTTTAATGTTTCATCATCATCATCATCATCAGCCTATAAGTGCCCACTGCTGAGCAAAGGCTTCTTCTCTTACTGAGAAGGTTATTGATCACCACGCTTGCTTAATGCGGGTTGGCGATTTTAAAGTAGAAATTATAAGTCCAGGTTTCCTCACGATGTTATACCTTCACCGTATGTCAGTGGTGTCTAAATAATCATAGAAAGTGCATTTAACTCGGAAAAAGTCACATTGACACTTGCCAGGTTTCGAACCCACACCCTCATGCATGAGAAGCGGGCTCCTAAAACTCTGGGCCAACCACGACATTTTTAAAATGTTTGCATTTGCCAATAAATATATTATTATAAGAAAATAACGTACTAAGCACAATCCCAAAAGACTTATTAAACTTAAATTTATTTAATAGTTAGGTACCTACCTATATAGTTATATTTCATTTATATTTACTTACTTATATTATGAAAACGAAAGTTTGTAAGTAAGGATCAATCAATTGATAGATGATTGTAAACATTTTCTTTGTAATTTTCTTTGTAAAAACTGAATGAAATTAAGTATGGATATACAATGAAAGCCTGGAATGCCGTTTCAACGTAGAATATTAAAAAAACATGCATCCATACTTACAAACTTAAACGTATTTAAACATACGAAGATATTTGCCAGACTTTTATATCAAACACCTGAACGAATTTCAAAAATAAAATCTATCATAAAATAGGTCATAACCTTATTAACATTAAGAGACCTCTTCATGGAATTTCAGATATTTTTCATTTGTTGCCATGTCATGTATTAAAAACTTATTAGTATATCATAAAATTAAATATCACGTTTCTGACTAGTACGTATTCAACAAAAACGTCGATTTTATGTACAAAACTGGGTTAATATAATAAGAACGTAATTATTAGATAAGGTTATTGAACAATAATCCATAACCACTAAATATATTAAGTGGATGGGAACTATACTTTGACACACATTAGCCCTTCTCAACCGTAGAGTTACCACGGCCTCAACGAAAGCCGGCGTTAAATCACTACAGAGTTGTATGTCACCGTGTGGGTGCGATAAACGGCCCAATCCCTAAATTCGCAAAACTCCTTACTTATCCTTAAAACGCTGGCAACGCACTGGCAACACCTCTGGTGTTGCGGGTGTCCATGGGCGGCGCAAATTGCTTACCATCAGGTAAAGGGAAAGCTCATTTGCCTTCATCCCATAAAAAAGAAACAAATATAAATATCGTACCTGTCTTAAGAAATATTTCCTTTTCTCCCATTTGCTTTCTTTAGGTTCATATTTCTCCATATCAGCCATTTCGCACAGAATCTACAAGCAACTGTCGATTGTTTTACAAATCTGACTCCGTTATTATATATTTTTATCTAATCTCACAAACATTAATGGATAAAAATTTGATTTATACTAGTTTAGTCAGTTCATTTTTATTGTATTTTCTTTGTGATGAACGAAAATAATGTGCTACTGAATTGTCCTTTATATTGTTTTCTTTTGGAAAGGGCAGTTTGACAACTGTTATGTGTTGTAGGTTGTTGAACTGTTTAAATTTTATAATATTACTGTTTATTACTCCGTCTAGAAGATATAATAATTATATAGTCACTATATATTATAAAGCAAAGTCACTTTCTGTGTCCCTATATCTCTGTAGGCTTAAATCCGTAATACTACGCAATGGATTTTGACGTGTTTTTGTTGAGCAAAATCATCGTATTTGCTAAGGCGAAATTTGTATTATAATAATACACGATCATAAGCAATCTAGCGCCGATGGACACCTGTGATATTAGAGGAGTTACAAGTGTATTTGCCAGTCTTTTGGTGGTTAGAGATATGGGAATTGGGGATCTGGGAACGGACTGGTCCGTGTCGCCTCAATCATGTCGAAGTATCACCCTCCCATACACAAGAGTGTAAATTAAATCTTAAATCCGTAATACTACGCAATGGATTTTGACGTGTTTTTGTTGAGCAAAATCATCGTATTTGCTAAGGCGAAATTTGTATTATAATAATACACGATCATAAGCAATCTAGCGCCGATGGACACCTGTGATATTAGAGGAGTTACAAGTGTATTTGCCAGTCTTTTGGTGGTTAGAGATATGGGAATTGGGGATCTGGGAACGGACTGGTCCGTGTCGCCTCAATCATGTCGAAGTATCACCCTCCCATACACAAGAGTGTATGGGAAAAAAAGAGTGTATGTCTAAATGAGTGGTGAGAGGAAGACCTCTCACCACTCATTTCGACACATATATGCTTGGAACATCAGAAAATACCACCACTATACTTTACAGTATAACACAAAAATCGATAGCTCACTGATTCTAAATATAATTCAACTAATTTTAATCAATTAAACGATAAAAAGTTAATAAAAACGTCTTACATTGTATTCAAATACGAGTTCGTCAGTAATACGCGATATTTCAAAGAAATTGTATTAATATGTAAAAAGACACTTGTAACACGAAAGCCATTGTTTTAGCTAATTATTTGATGCCTCAATAAGGTTCAATTGAAGACAGATTTGAATTATTTGAATATACATATTTCACTGAAGACTGTCTTCGCTTCAAAGAGTCAGCACTCCATCACGAGGACCAGTCTAGACTGGAAGTCACGGGATGGTTTATTGTCAGAGAGAAGAAGAAGGAGAAACAATTTGATGGCATTCCACTCTCCAAAAAAGGGATTGGGCCTCCGGTAACCTCACTCACACGGCAAAATGGTAGTTTCACGCCGGTTTTCCCACCCATTGATGACCCAATCGTGCCGAAGCTTGGCTCCCTCACCTTTAAAGTGACAGAATTTCGGCGCCTTTTCAATTCAAACAAACGAATAACCAACTCTGGATATTATTATTAATTGTTTGTAGGGTCCCGGACCTTTGGAAGGCGTACGAGAAGCCGAAGCCAACTCGCAAGAGGCCCGTTGAACAGTTTTAATCTAAATGTGATGGGACATCAGCCGGCAATTATCCCTGTATGCACTATATAAGTGCACCCAAGGACAATCCCCGGTTGATGCAGGGCTATTGTGTAATGTGGTAAAAATTGATAGGGTTATAGTTATGGGTTGCTATGGACTGGTGGATATGATAACTATGGAAATACTATGGTCCCTGCCCCTGACCAATATTGATACATACGGATAAACAGGCAGGGTGTGACTGGCAAACTCAATTAATGGGCCCCCGGAAACGGCCGCTAGCATGTAGCGACACGGGGGCAACATACGTTGAGCTGCTTGGGGAAGGAGAGGCATCCCACGGCTATTAGAGCAATCCCGAAAGTACGGTCAACACCCCTACCAGCACCTTACTGCGATACATCCTTCCCCCGAGTCTCCTTCAACTCCTACTCTTGCGAATCTCCACTCAAGCCAGCCAATTAAGGCAAGAATGAGGTAGGAGGGCTTGTTCCTCATCAGTGTTCACTCCAGCTAGTCACGGGGACTAACCGGAGATGAAGGACAAAACACCTCCCGCAAGGCAGGTCCACGTCGCCACGTGGGGAGCCCAACAGCTCGCCACAAGCTGCCTTGCAGATTATTATTAATATTGATATTGCTTATTATTAGTTATACATCTACTAAAGGTGTTATACCATGGCCCTATAGAAAACAACGCTTGCATTGTGTTTCATAGTGCAAGTGAGGTCATCGGACCTCAGGTCTATGAATTCCAAATTAAATTGTTTTTGATGTGTCTAAAAAAAGGTTTTGAACTTCAATTCTGATCAAAGTCACAAAAAAATGCTAAATATTACATGCCCCTAGTCACATGACCAAATCCAACCAGACCAAGGCGGTCAACTAAATTTACAACCAAAAACTCACCTGCCGAAAAAAATACTTCCTCTCGCTCGAAGCGTAATATTTAAAATCACTCTTCGTTTGGAATCCTTCCATTTTACACTGATTCATACAGCAGAAAAACAACAAATCGAATTACTATTTTTATTTATAAAAAAAAACTACTTTTATCTAAATTAAATAAAAAAAAAAAACAATTATTGTCTAACTTCACTTATTACGTATCGTATTACGTATTACTTATACTTATTAAGTATCTTGATTTCTTTAAAAAAAATATATATTTTTTGTTTTAATTTGTATTTTATTGATTTTTACACAAGAACTTTAGCCTTGTACAAACAGTTTTTTTTTTATTTATTTATTTTTAATTTTTAATATAATTTGTATTAATTCTATTGATTTTTACACTAAGACACTGCGTTAGCCTATTAACTCGACTGCGACAAAACTAACTATAAACTATTTTATTACCAAGTTGACTACAAAATCTAGTAACAATAAGTTGTTTTAGAATACCGTGAGAAAAACTAATTGAGATAAAACTGACGAAACTGTTTAAATCATCACTATGGTAAAATTTATTCCAGTTAAGGCGTGACAGGTAAAAAATTGCAGATTACTGGGAAGCTAGGTTTTATAATTACTTCATTACATAAACGAATGATTATAAACATCACGAAGAATGATTGTTAAGATGTGTTTGTTTGTTCATTAGTTTATTGTGGTTTATTAACTCAACGAATCTGGTTTTAGGCGGTAAATGAGTATAAAGACCGCAGACCGGGACAAAGAAAAAGATCGGGTCCGCAGATTGACTCCTGCAACGCTACAGGAGCTACACGTGGATTGTCTCCTTTTAGGGGTTGTTAAGGATTGCAGTATTGGAGTTTGGAGAAAGAGATATGAATTTCTGGAGCTCTGGTAACCGTACATACAATACCGCAAGAAGTTAGCCAATTAGGTAGCTGCGCAGTACACAATTTTATTCCTAAAAGATCTATTGCGCAGACAAACGGCTAACTTCAGACTCGCTAAGATACGGCAGCCGTACTGTAAGTACACCACGAAACACAACGAAAGCCTTGAAATTCTCCGGTATTTTATGAGGCCGTACTTTAGTTGAGCCGGCCCATTCGTACCAACATATTTAACTCTTCCACTCTTGAAATTTTTCCTACGTGTAGCTAGAAATACATATGTATATGTATTTTTCTATGTATATCCCGAAACACTTCATACAAGCAAGGCTGCAGGGAAAAGCTAGTTTAATATTAAATTACCTTAATTTCGCTTAACTAGAAAAGTATTGATGCACGTTATTTGCTAATCAGAATAATGTTAAGGGCAAATCGGTTATTATACTGTAGGTCCAAACAAAATGTATAAGGTGGTTCTTTTAAAAGTTCGTCCATAAGTGCCAATCGGACAGCAGGCTATCTGTAAAGTGAAATAAAATTCATATTTTCACCCCTTATATACGCGAGACACAATGTGTTTTCTATTGTGTCTCATACACCGGCAGACAAGAGGTTAATTCGTCGCGAAGCTTTTATTGTAGAGGCTACCGACTCTACAACACTGTTTTTCACGTGGCTCACCGGTAACTCCACCCAAATCAACCCATTATTTCCAAAAATATGGATCTATTACCATAAATTCTTACAACATTTTCTTTGCCTTGTATCTTTTTCTATTCATAATAAATATTATATAATATCATGCAAATATTGATTCCCAAGAAAATAAAACTGTCATCGGAAATAATGTTTTTATTACATTGACTTTGAATTGAAGACTATAATTACCATAAATACTACAATTACTCTTTATAGAGATATTTCTACGTAATACCTGTCACGAGTAGGACAAGTTTAGAATATTATAAATAAATTAAAATAGATACTCTTTTTTTTGGGAGTGTCAGATTCTTACTGACTAAAAACCCCCTTGCTCCTTCTCCATGCTCTGGGCCGAGGTCGCCATGCCTCATTGCGCTTACCCCGCAACCCCGGCTGGAAATAGATACTCTTGCGATAACGAGTATAACAGGGACTATAAAACGCCACCACTTTAAGAGACGATCTTAGAGACGAGGGCACCGTAAGCGCTGGTCTGTGGAAAGCGAGTAAGGGTAGATCGCCACCCGAGCAGAACCAGACCCGGGCATAGAGCGCGTAGCGTTCCGCGCGCGCCTCAAAGAGCACTACAGACGGAGCCCTATAGGGCTGATGTTCAGCCGGGGTTGCGGGGTAAGCGCAATGAGGCACCGCGACCTCGGCCCAGAGTAGGAGAAGGAACGAGGGGTTTTTAGTCAGTAAGAGTCTGCCACTCCTTCCCGCCCCACCCTGGGCGGTAGAAGTAATTTGATGATTTTCTCCCCACAAAAAAAAACGCCACCACGTTATGGTGGATATTCCTATCACACTAACGCAATGTCACCTTGGGTTGCGGTTACAAGCGGCAATAATATACTGCAGCCCAGGTTCGCGTCAGAAGAAGGAGCGGCTTGGTTAGTCAGTTCCTCGCAC